CATAAATTAGATTAACTCATTCCCGCGAAACACTACCCTGGATGGATACCGCAAACCACAGCTTGCAGACTAAGAGCACATAACTTAGAATAACCATAACTACAGCTCATACTGCCATATAGCTGTCTCTTATACACATCTAGATGTGTATAAGAGACAGCTTAATACACTGTCCACATTGATCTTTTTTGGGATGGTAAAAGGACAAATTGTAATTTTCACAGAATACCTTTCTGTACATTGATTCTTTCACCGGCATCACAATAGGGTTAGCAGCCTCGCATTCCTCTTTGTACAGTCTATACATTTTAGAAATGTTCAATCTTTGGTCCAGGTACAAGCGTCTTGTATTGCTTCGGGTATAATGAGATTCAATTGTTGGGAATCTTTCTATGTGGTGTTTTACGAATGCTACTGCCTCATCTGGTGTTTTGTTAGATGGAACGTGTTTACCTCTTTTGTCCTCACCAGAGAATGTTCCTGCATCTCCGATGTCTTTGAATGCAGTATCCAGCCCACCATGACCAATATTAATAGTTTTTAAGAAAAACTTGCTTCGCAGTGCCATCTTTAATGAAAGAGTAGGTGTAGGTTTTAGTTTTCCGCTGACGCTCTCCTCTGGGACGCTCGCGTTGAATGTCATACACCTTGACATTTGCCAACAAGAAATCTTTTTGACGGGCATAGTCTCCGAGTTTCCAGTCCTCGCTGCAAATAGTTTCCCTATCTCTCTCCGAAAATATTTCAGAGCACTTAAACCTGCAATTATCACAGTAAACATATACTGTTTTATCATCTTTAGGACTTGGCCACTTCCAATTCTTTCCAGCACAATGCATCACCAGAAGAAACCAATTCCCCACATGTTCAATGTGATTATTAACACAGGGTCAGGTTTATACCTTCCCTGCTTTGGCTATCGTAGTTTTTCTTGTGCTTTTGACAATCTCACTTTTTGGTGTCATAGTCGGAGCTCGTGAGGTACTTGGTCATTCTTGGAGTTAACCATTGGAGTCTATCTAGCTTAATAAAATGTATTGTATGAATAGAAAGCTGCAAGTAGACTTACATTGTAGGCTTGTTAGTAGGTTTCATAACCATTAACTCTCAGGTGTCCGTGCATCCTAGGTGTGAGTATTGGTAGAGTTTGATCAGGACAGTTAGCCTCATGAAGGGCGATTGTATAAGTTTTTTTTCATATCTTTATTTGAGTTTAATCATCTCCTCCTCCTTTTTCCAATTAAGTGCGAACTTCATACTTGACAACTACTTTGTGGTGGAAATAAATTTTTTTTTCATATCTTTATTTGAGTTTCATCATCTCCTCCTCCTTTTTCCAATTAAGTGCGAATATCATACTTGACATCTACTTTGTGGTGGAAATATCAACTCAATTTGAACGCGGCGATTATCAGATATAAAGACTTTCTTTTTCGATAGGTTGCAGTCGATTTGTTCCCTTTAACAATACCTCGTGATTTTGTGTTTGGGACACTCAAGTCTCCAAAACTGCTCTTCAGAGGTCTGCATATTGTAATATACACGAAAAGACAACACACACAAACACTAACATCTAAACACCTGATTATTATAATTATCAGATATAGTTTTATGAAATGATCTAAATTATTGTCCCCTTTAATAATAGTAATATTTAATAAATATGAACAATTAATTTATGGATGAAAAGTACGTGCACTGTAAACTGCTGCTACATATGGTGTCATGACCTAGCTATTAAAGAGGCCTACATATTAACCCCATGGCATTACGCCTTGATACTTACCAATGAATCCGAATTTCTTTAATTGAAAGAAAACTCATTTAGAATACTGAATGGAAAGTTAGACAGCATCGGTGGTTCTGCAGTTGAAATAAAGGAGGTCACCAGATTCAAGCCACGCATAACTGTTTTCAACAAATTGGCAAGATAATAATATTGAATGGAAACTGTAGCTCAGAGCACCAGTGGCCCTGAAGTGAAGTTGGCACTGAAATGATTCCGAGCTTGACAGTTCCAAAGAAATGGCAAGAATGCTCACAAGAATGATCATAATACTGAATAAAATAAACTAGCTAGAGTGTATCGGTGGCCCATTACCTGAAATAAAGAGACCACCAAATAAAATGCCGATCTTAACAGTTCCAGCAATTTGACAAGAATGATCATATACTGAATGGAAACTGCAGCTCAAGCGCATCGGTGGCCCGTTACCTACATTAAGAGCACACCAAAATGATGCCGAGCTTGACAGTTCCAAGAAATTGGCAAGAATGATCACAAGAATGACCATAATGCTAAATGAAAATTAGCTACAGAGCATCCGTGTTCCTTTAACTATAATACCGGTAAGGAAGCACTAAAATGATGCCAAGCTTGATTTTCCAATACAATAATGACAAAGATTTTTATATTGAATGAAAACTGCTTCAGAGGCCCTTTGGTTGAAATGATAGGTTGCTAAAAATGGCAAGCTTTTACATACATGTACATTGTATGTCTACTGGATAAAAACCCCAGCAATGCATTTTTAGTTGAAGTTAAATGAGACCTCTTAACTTTTGCGAAAGTATTTGGCTAAAATGGTCATGGCACTAAATGCACATTGCAGCTAAAGCATCGCTGCGTCAAGCATTTCACCAACGTATTTATTATTAAAATGAACCGCAAACACTGAAAAATAAAGTTCATTCTTAAAAACCTATCAAACAAAATAATTTCAACATTAAATTAACTTTACAAGGTACTATGAGGTACCAGATAGCTTTAAATATTTAAATAACATCTCAAAACCATATACATTGCTGTATTCATTATAATTGAACGTAAGTATTAAAACAAAATTGCGAGTCAATGCAAAAAAAAAAATTTTACTGTATTTAGTATACTTGTTTTTTTTTTTCATTCTGGATAATACGGACACCTGATCTTTTAGTATATAAGACATAGACATATAGAAATTATATTTAGTGCCCGTCTATCGTCGGCGTAAATTGACAGTCTTCCAAATTATATCGGACATTGTGATTATTCTCTTCGTTTCTGCGGGTGCGCATCATAACGAAGCTTAAGCATAAAAATACACTCTATGAAAGAGTTAAATAAATTCTCCAAAATATCTCATTCATTGCCAACAGAACCTTATAATATATAAAGTAAATATATATAAAAAGTCATGGATGTTTTAAATTAATAACATATTATATTAAATAATATGAATTGTCGTTTAGTCTTGGTCATGAATGTGGTGTCTCTTTTGCCGTACTAGTCTTTCAAATTGACGTTGTGTTTGGAAATCCCCAAGGCTGTGTGTTGAAATCCTCAGTGCTGCTCTCATTTCTTGAGTGTCCATTGCTCTATTTATTCCATCTTCATTCCCTTCTTGTATAGGATGCCCTGCGTATATGTACACATATCCGTTCTTTTAGTAGAATACCCACCGTGTAAGAAAATGGCATTACGAATACTAGCTGTCACTCAACTTCCTGCCGTACGATGGCGACCACCACGGCTCGTCGTCTTTTCTGGAGTTGCATTCTCTTTCTTTCTTATCATGAATAATATATAAAAGATAAGATGAATTGTGTAGTCTTTATAATGAATGTTGTGGTGTTTCTTTTGTCGTATTAGTCTTTCAAATTCACGTTGTGTGGTGAAATCTTAGAGGCCTCACGCATTGCCTATAAGTGTCCATTGCTCCATTTGTTTCATCTCCATTCCCTTCTTGTAAGGGATGCCCTGCGTATGCGACGACCAACACCGTCTTTCTGATGTGATACACATATCCGTTCTTTTAGTAGAATACCAACCGTGTAGGAAAATGGCATTACGAATACCAGCTGCCGTTCAGCTTCCTACCGTACGATGGCGACCACCACGGCTCATCGTCTTTTCTGTAGTTGCATTCTCTTTCTTTCTTTTCAGGAATAATGTATGAATTGTTTAGATTTTATAATGAATAATGTGGCGTTTCGTTTGTCGTACTAATCTTTCAAATTCACATTGTGTGGTGAAATCTCCAAGGCTCTTCTCTCTTTCATGGTTAATAAAAAAACAATACTATTTACTACGACATATCAATTTCAATATATATGTATATATATATATGTATAACTGTATCGAAATTAATAACTTTTGAATTTTCAAAATTTAACGTTAATTCCTTTACCTTGCATACGCTCTTTCCAGAGTCTAACATGTTTTAAAGTTTTCCTCTGGTATATTGATATGTGCCCCATTGTATGGACATAAAACAATTTCTTAATTTAAATTAATATTGTCTAGCTTGGATAATTAAAACTTCCTCGTATTCCTATTCAAAAGCAATTAAAAAAGAAGTAATTTTCGATAAATATGTAAAAATGGACTTCTTGATTTAGAAGGTGGACTCATATGGGTCGTTGTCCCAATTTTTTTCGCATGTTTGTCCTCGTATTCTTCTTCTTTCATGAACCCTTCAAACCAGAATCGCCCTGCCTGCTTCTTTTCATGGTTGAAATTATGCTCTATTTGATTTGTTACAGCAAACTGATAAGCTAACACCATTACATCTTGTCTAGCGAGTCCAAACCCACGAGATTCCATTTCAAGGATGTGTTCTTCAAGTTGGTTCTCAAAAGTGCTTCCCAACACAGAATTTCTTTCCAATTGTTTCATCACAATTTCTCCTCCCCCTTCGGCTTTCGCCACTTTTCGTGCTAATGTTGAAGTCGGCACATCATACTGTGCAGCTGCACGGCGTATTGATAATTCTCCTCGTCTCATTGAATTTACAGCCTCTCCCGTAGCTTTTAAAGACCATGAAGCATAGTCGGTTTTTCGTGTGTATTTAAAGGGCATCTGAAAATAAAAATAGCCTGTAATTATAATAATATTAAATACCAAGACTTATTTATTATAAATTAATTTCGACGACCACCGTCCCTCACCCAAAATCAATCAATCAATGCTCTGTGTATCATTTATGTAATAGAAGCATTATTAAATACTCATTTTACACACAACGACCGCCATATTGGCTGAAAAATGAAACTACATTATCAATGAATAGAAACTTCGGCGCAGTAGTTCATTGCGATTGTTTCCCCCATACTTCGTTGTTTTTCCACGCGTCAGCGAATCAACCATATGACCGACTGCAGCAGAGTATCTTAAATTCACTCCGCTTTCCTTTTCGTGAGGAATTCGATCATTTTCCCGAAGGCCTGCGATATAAGGCAGGTTTTCCCCGCAAAGTTCGATCAGTTTGTTTACACTTCCCTTTACGTCGAGGATTGCATTGGGTTCCATCGTTGCAGGTTGCACAGCCGGTTCCGGCTCTACAGCAGGTTCCACAGCCGGTTCTATAGCCGGTTCTAGAGCAATTTCCATCGATGCAGGTTCCGCAGCCAGTTCCATCGATGCAGGTTCCAAAGCCGGTTCCACATCCGGTTCTACAGCAGTTTCCATCGATGCAGGCTCCATCGAACAATCAGTTGGTCTCTCCACCTTGTGCATGGGCAAGTTGGGATCGCTGTCCTGAGAACTTGGTCTCCCGACATCGGCTCGAAGCTTATGTCGTCGAGAGCATTGAAGAAATAAAGGTAGTCCGTAGCTGTACGGTAGTCCGTAGCTGTACGTTTTACGTATTTATAATCTTTGTTGTGTCCGTGAACCGATTGTGTTCGAATGTCTCGCCTGTGGGCAACACCGGACACCGAATTCAATACCGGTACTGTGTTAGGGAGTCGGCGATTGACACCTGGATGGCAATGGCCTTCTGTCAGCCCAGACCGAAATCCACCGCATGTCTTCCCGTAACTTCCTCACCGCTCCAATCTTTGTAATTTAATATTAAATAATGTCATCAGGTAGTGACCATAGTCGTATTCGTTGTAGGTTGCTCCTTTCAAATTTGAATGGAATAATATCATCGTCGGACTAGCTTGGTAGCTCATGATCCACACACATATTTCGTATATTGTCCATGGACATTTCTCCTTCCTCAGTGAGGTCTATAACAAGAGGGTTTAATTCTTCTAAACAATTGGTTAGATCAATTATTATTATTATTATTATTATTATTATTATTATTATTATTATTATTATTATTATTCTTATATATTATTATTATTCTTATATATTATTATTATTCTTATATATTATTATTATTCTTATATATTATTATTATTCTTATATATTATTATTATTCTTATATATTATTATTATTATTAATATATATTATTATTATTATATAATTATTCTGTCTTGCTTTTCTAACGGGAGTGATTAGTAAATAAGATTGCTCATTTACATTTTATAACTAATATGTTTCTTTCATATTGTATTTTCCATCTTTATGAGGCTTCGTGTAATTTTTGGAGAACCTCCTCGGACGAGTCCACAGTAGTGAGGGTCGAGAAATAATGCCAAAATAAAACGTTGATTCTTCCTCTGAATAAGGTAAGATTGCTTGCACAGTATACACATAACATTATATATATATACACTTACTAATCCACTTATTAAAACCCCGTTGTCGACCCTGGATAACCTCCTCCGTTGTTTACCTAGCTTTAGTTTACCCCAAAAAGAACAGCTTAATCTTACATTTTTCATTTCTCATATCACAGATTCATCTAGCCATTGGAGTAAATGATGAGAGCAATCACTGATCAATCAATAGCGCTACCTTATTTGAATTCAGACCGGCATGAGCAGACCACTCACTGCGTGGTACGACGAATCCAACTCCTCTGCCTGTGAGCGCTAGACGACGCGATGCCGTTGCGTGCGTCGTGTTCTCTAGCATCGCCGTCGGGCGTAGTTTGAATCTATGGTGAAAGAATGACAGCTCATTATCTATCGAATAACTTTTAATACAATAGAGCTGAGTGATTGGCTGAGAGGTATTGTTTCTGCTTCTTGTGCTGAAGAACTCGGTTCCATCCAAAATAAAAAGGAGTTAATCGTCTTCGGCCTGGTAACCTTCTCCGTGCTAATTCTTTGACTGGTCACAAGGTAAAAATCATGATTCGATATTCGTGACATTGCTCGTACTGCTGTTCCATCAACATAAGTACAGTTTTTACCCATATTATTTCTATAAAACTAATATTAAGATTGGACCTCTGCTACTGTGCAGTCTCTCCCTGGTTCGACTTCCTGGACCCGCCACTGTTGAAGTATCATTTCCGGGCTCTGGATTAATTATTACCCTATAAAAAGGCCCCTAACTTTCAAAAACGTTCCACCGCCGTTGCGTAGCATCTAGTTTAGCTGTTGCGGCCACATAAGGACTTAACAGTAGAGTGTCTGCCATACAAATAATCAAAAAAATTCTTGGTGACATTGAAATGTCCTTCCATGTCTAGATAAGCACATGCCTCATGGCATCTCTGTTAAGGGTTCCTCGTATTTTTCGCTACAAAAAATGCAGCGGTATTCTTCGATCTTACAGCGGTATTCTTCAGTAGGCCTAATTTCTTTGGTTGTTACGGATATTCCTTTTTCTTTAGTCTGATTTGCCCGACTCTGCAGGGTCTGCCTGAGGTTCTCCGGGTCTTCCTGATGTTCTGCAGGGTCTGTATGGGGTTCTGCTGGGACTGCTTCAGGATCTGTATCTTACTCAATGGGATATTCCCTCTCAGTCACTTCAGAAGGTGCAAAGTCAATAGCTGTGAATATGTCTGGATTGAATGGGTTTACCGGTGCATTCAAATCCCTTTGCTGCATTTCCAACTGATGCACACCGCAAATATGCAATTAAAAATATGTCCAATGGTTGAATCTTGTGACTGGTGTGTGGTGATATGGATAGCAGTGGTTGTCAAGGATAAGCAGGGTCTTTGATGCCGTTTCATATAACCACTTATCCAGTCTTGTCCGGCTTTCTTCGTGTCTCTGTTAAAAGGATGATGGATACCATTGCTTTCCGCATATTCATATGCTAAAATTCTCAACTCATCGTAAGTCAGTCCATATAACATAGTCTGAAGCTTCAACAAGTGGGTCACGAATTCTGCTTCTGCAGCTTGACTGAACACCGTGGAAAATGTACCTCTCTTTCCACAGTTTACAAGTCCCTTGATTGAACGATTCAACGTCGATTTAGGAACATCATGGTTCGAGCTGCTTCTCTGACTATTTTTTCACGCGACTTAACGGCCTCAACCGCCTTCTCCATATTGGACTTATCCCAGCTAAATCTAAATATGGTGGAGGATATGTTATTTAACAATATAAACTTGTTATTTTTAAGGATTCCCGAACGTGCGATAGGCCTATATAATAGTAGTAGGCCCAAACAAAGCTTATTATAGTAAACCAACTATGCATCATCTGTACACACAGACTAAATTCAGCTTTAATACTATTAGGGGCATGATGGGACACTGTCCCATGCTCATGTCTCAGAATCAGTTATGCTTCAAAATCTTAAGGATACTTGGATTTTTCTCGCTGAAATTTCTTCTACACGTGTAATAGGAATACTGTAACAAAGCATGAGGAAATCACCCCCTCTATCCTATTAGTCTTCGAAATACAGCCATGTCCATCCAAACTAGGTTTAGGTTTAGCAAAATCGGCATAAGCCAGGATGGGAGCCTTGTCATCTTCATCAAATTCGATTTGCCAGTAACCTTACTTCAAATCCAGAGATGAAAACTTTACGGCTCCATGCAGGGCGTCGAGCGTATCTTCAATCCTCGGTAAAGAATAGCCTCTGTCTGTGTCATGCTGAGAGAAAACAGATTCCCACTTGCGGAGGAATTGTTTTACTTCTTGTACACGCGAAATCTCGTTTGGCCCGGGCGCACTACTTACGCACTCGTCCCGATGGTCTGCATGTACTCGGTAGCCTGGTAATATACCGCTTGTCACACGCACTCTCTGATTACATGATTTGTAGTTTCTGCATTTGACATTCATTTGTATAAATATGTTATTATAATATTACATAATTGTGACTGCAAAGGTAATAAATATTAATCCAAGGTCTTCAGTACAAAACACTTGAGACCACTGGCAAAATTATGGATGATTACATAATAATTTCATAATTGTGTGGGTATGAATTTTTATAGTGTTGATATATTAATTTATATTAGTGACGTTTGTTTATTCTTTGTTTAAAGCAGGGGGGGAGGTTGGGGTGGGGTGTGTGTTTTAGTTTCCCCTGATTGTTCATGCACGTGGTCTACTGGGATGTGTGAAATATGCGTATATCGACATAAATAGATCATGACATATGCCTGTATTTTTGTAATTTATTAATTTCATTCTTTGTAATAATGTGAAAGTCTGTTTGGTGAATTGTATTGTATTAATTAAAATATAGTATTTGAAGAAAATTTAAAAACGGTTATTAGTCTTCGATTTAGTTGTCTCGTTTCATTTGAATGAGTGAGAGTGTACGGAATGGATGAGCAGACAAGATACATACACATTACATAAACCTATTCAACGACGTTTCAATAGAAATAGAGTATACGTAACAGACGAACAGTTTAAAATCGGTGATCAAGTTCGTATTAGTAGATATAAAATGCTTCTTGAGAAAGCTTATCTAGGAAACTGGACGGAAGAAATATTTGGAAAAGTTCTTACGAAAGCGAAAACGCAATGGTAAAACGGAGTACTTTGTTAAATGGTTAGGCTACCCTTCAAAATTCAACAGTTATTCAAAGTGGCTATTACACTTCGGGAAATCAACTGATTGATGAAATCAACAATACAATTCAGATTCCTACCTATTCCCGAGAGAGAAACGCTACTTGGAATCGATTTAGATTTCATACTCGAAGCATCGGAAATTATAGGTAAAAGACCTATAAACCTCCATTTTCGAGTCATATGAAAAAAGAAGCTTCTCATGAATACGTAATGCTTCACTAAAAGCACGTAGTTAAAAAAGATATCGATACCATATTGATAGATATAGGAAGCGATACCGGTGAGAAAGTTTCATTTCAACGTGGAAAGGTTTTAGTGAAACTACATTTTTATTCAGAGTAGATCGTCTTATTTGGTATAATGGTTAACGCTTACGAAGATTATTACATTAGGCAGGTAGGAGGCTCGACAATATCCCCGGTCTTGGAGGAATGTTATCAGGCCTATTCAAACGGGCTGTGCCTTTTTTGAAGAAAGGGGCCAAGACATTGGGAAAGCATGCTTTTCGCACAGGTGCGGAACGTATAGTACAGGCCGGTAAACGAATTGTCTTTCAGACGGGTCGAGGAAGATTGAATAAAAAGAAAAAACATAATCATAAAAACACCAGTCGAACGAGAGCCAAGAGAGCGAGAAGAACCTCCGATATATTCGAATAATAAAAATATTCACCATGTCTTGCGTACACAAAAATTCATGATTTCTGATTCTGGTCCGGTACAATTCAATATACAGGGCTCTAGCGAGGAATATGTAGATTTGTCTCAAACTATGTTACGCGTCAAAGATTTAGACGACGGTGACCCAGTTCTCGATAATTTTGTAAGTAGTTGGACATTTAAACGATAAATCTGGAAATACGGCTAGAAATGTATCCGGCCGAACGCCCTCTTGAGGCATAGCATTGTGTAATACAATGTTCCCGACGGGTATTTGGACCTGTTCAACCATGAAGCCTTCGTGGTCTAATGGTTATGACGCTCGCCTTGTCAGTTCTATCATGTCTTTATTAAACACTATATATGTACCATTGATGATTTATATTATATTTATTCAACAGTGTTAACGGATAAATCCCTTCAATATCATATATAATATACGACAGTATTTCTAGCCGTATTTCCAGATTTATCTGGCCGAACGCCCTCTTGAGGCATAGCATTGTGTAATACAATGTTCCCGACGGGTATTTGGACCTGTTCAACCATGAAGACTTCGTGGTCTAATGGTTATGACGCTCGCCTTGTCAGCGAGAGGTCGCAGGTTTGAATCCCGTCGGAGGCATTTTATTACACAACGATTTTTCATAGGACTTTAATACTTTAATACTATTTACATACATACTATGTACAGACACACATTATACTATATTATACAATATACTATTGTCACGCGAGATGATGCATTATTAGAAATAAAATTTAACAGAAAAATCTGTCCCAAGAATTAGGAAATACTTAACAGAAACACCAGGGTTAATTTGTGTATGTGGGTGTGGGAGTTTGGAAGCACGTGTTCTTATTATTTACAACCTAGAAGTTCCTATGCGACAAAAAAAAACAGTTCATGAGGCAGTGTAATATTACAGCACAGAGAAGGATACAGACATCAGTGTTGCGACAGACACAACTGTGATATTCTCAATTTCTACATTGGACATGCGCGTTTTTAATCAACAGTATGTATTATTATTCATTCTCCTGTTGGCCTAATCAACAGTTTGTTACCGTCAAACAATAAATTTATAAACTCATCATAGATTAATCTAATATATACGTTAATTGAAGATTAGGATGTAAACAGTAACATAAAATACATAATTATCTAACTATATACATCAAAATTAAAACCCAATTACATCTCAAATGTGTGTTATAGGTAATTTTACTGTATCGAGAAACATTTAAATGAAACATCAAAATAAACGCTAGCTTATGTGGCCCAACACGAATCAGGGAAATTTGTATTTTATTTTAACTTTGACGATTTCAAAATTAACGTTTCAAAACGGCGTTTTCACAATATCAATCGACAGGAAAACAGGCTTAAAATTACATGCAATAAATATAGTACTACACTAATAAGGTACACGTCATTGTTTTAAATTCCAATTGCCTTTACTTACCTTCAGCTTTTTTTTTAATCAAATGATCAAATTTTGCATTAACCAAATGGGAATTTTTTTATTTTGCATTATCATCGTAAAAATGAAAATTTATATTATTTTATTCAACAAATTTTTCTTCTTAAATTGTTAATGAACATACCAACAAATAATTTGAAAATTGACATGTTAGTCTAGTTCATGTCAAACTTTAGGTCGCTTAATCTAAATCTTGAAATGTGATACGATAATTCCTTAATTAGGTTCGATGCCGAACCAGATGAAGCAACTAGCAGTCGGTCTTTACTAAACAGGAAGTTTGAGGGTATTGTACAAAATGTCTGAAATTTGAGTCAAGTTAAGCAGGATACAGTATCTACCATTAGTCTGGTACTGTTAAGCTGCTTAACGATATATGGCTTAATCTATTATCCAGATAGAAGAATCAGTTATTGTCTAATGTTTATCTGGATAAGTGGCTCTAATTATCTAGATATAAATTTGACATGAACCAGGTTATTGTCCAAAATATCTGAAAACAATTTAACATACAAACAGTTTGATGGAATGTAGACATAAACTTACAAATCCTTGCCCTTCTTCATCTTTCAGCGAAGGAAATTCTTCAACAATAGCTTTTGCCATCATGGTTTTCACTTCACATTTGGGTCTGTAGTGTAAAACATAATAAATTCATCAATCACATGATATTTAAAATATAACAGAGATGACATGACACACTTGGTCTTGCATGAATACTGTGTACTCTTTTACAGTATACTAGACATGAAGCAATAATAAACTCATCCTTCAGGATTATGTGAAATGGTCAGTGCTTGCAGAATAGCCTGCTTAACGTCCCAGGAAAACCAAAAATGATGTAGGGCAACCATAATTTATTAAATGTGTCCCCGACAGGCAACCAAATTATAGACCAAATTTTGAACAAAAAGATACATGATTCTGATGAAAAACTATCAATCAATGGATATGGGCAAGTTAAAATTATTTAGGGCGACCAAATTCTGAGATCAATCTGCTCGAAGGGCAACCTCAAAATAAAAAATTTCGCTAGCCCTGATGGTAACCAATATCTTCTACCAAACCTGTACACCTTTAATACACATTTGCCTGCCAGGATTTTATTTACCTTCAAATTTTAATAAGAAATCTGAAATGAACAAAATTATTGAATTACGCACCTCTCCTTCCTCTATCTCTTTAATTATTGATTCGCCGACAACAGAAGACTCCAGCAAGGCACGAACATGCTGTGAAATATACTTTTCTTGAATAAATTGTAACACAACTACAGTACATGTTGTTTTAAAATTATTCACATGAATCAAAGACAAGTCTCATTTGCATTAATGTCTCAAAAAAAAAATTGAGAAAACAGTACAGTTTATGCTTTTAGTAGGACATGCGAGTACATACAGTAGAAAAATGCTTTCTGGTTGGTGTATGTTAGTTTGAGCTCAATTAGAAAATGTCTATTGGAAAAGTTCTGTAAGAGCCATTTGTTCTTACTATTTATACTGCTCTTCAAAAAAATGTACCAATTAGTTCGGTTTTTTGATTGAATGCATTACTTATTAATGTTAGAAATAAATAGTTGTACAAGAGAGGCAAGTGTGAAAAAACAAAAAGATACTTACAGGTATGAAAGTTGAGACTGACTTAATTTTTTTCCTGGGAGGTTCAGTAAACTCTTCACTGGATTGAGATGAACATTGACTGGTAGTAGCAATAAATTCTTCTGAAGAGTCCGATGAAAGTGAATCATTTAGACTCTGCATGCAATGTTCATTATGACTGGGAACAACTACCGGAAGCTACAGTATAAAATACGAATAGATTTAGTTTAAACATAATAAATACAATATCAAATTAAATTGGGATGTTCAGTACTAAAGATGCGTTATACATTACAAAGCTTTGTCATTTGATTTACAAAATGTCATAAACACAAAGTATTTATAATCCAAGTGATTTTACAGTATTAAAAACCAAGGCTGGGGCCATTACAAATGCAGTCCCAGTGTGGTATCTAATTGGAAGAAAAATGCTGATTTACTTTACTTACAAAATATATTATTAGTGAATTGTATGTCTCAAAACAATAAATAAATGTTCGGTCTGGCTATATATCTAGCAGATTATCCACTTTATTCGCACTCCACGGTCCATCTGCTGTTTGCTTAACTACATAGGAATGTGTATGCCTATCAAATTTTACAAGTTGAAATTTGATCATCTGTTTTATGTGTAACAACAACCATTCTTTTGGTATGTTTTTCCATGTACAACACACCACTTGGCTACATAAACTTTATCCAGAAGATTAACACCAAGTATTTCTCCCATAACTTCAGCATTTGCAAAGGAAGCCACGAGGACAGAAGACCCTGGTCCAACCTCCTGATCTCTATTAACTAGATCATTTGCACCCATCATACTGTAACAAATGTATATTTGATGCCTGTAGCTGAGTGTTTTTAAAATGTTTCTAAAATTACAAACTATATGACCCAATCTTTTGAAAAAGCCATGTTTAGCTTCAAACCGCATTACCCAATAGTGTACAATTGGTCCGAGCATACGAATTTGGCGAGGATAGTGGGTCATAAAATGGTGGTTTGGCTTTAGATGACGCATTGGAAATAATTTTAAAAAGTGTTCATGGTGATCTTTGATAATGTGCTTGAGGAACAACGTATCATCATCAGTTACTTCATACGAAAATAAAAAATCCATTCAGTCTAATAATAGCAACAGTAACTCATAGTAATCGTTATCTTGGGGAACTTTATCGCCAATTAAGAGAGGAAGATTCTGAACTAGGCACCACATCTGCACAGCTGTCTGTTGGGTGCAGCCATCTGGATTTTGGAGCTTAGAAGCAGATATTATGGAGGGCTTATTTTTGCTATCTATTAATCCATAATCAAAGCTTGTAATTCTGCTATTTAGTAGATCTAAAGTGAAATAGCCTTCTTGTATTAATGCACCAATGACAAGATAAACCTCTAAACCACACACACCCTCTAAAAGATCATGCATTATGTCAGGAGAAAAGTTTCTGGTAACATGGAAATGATCCGTTTCATTCAGTAGACATGTTGATTTTATTCCAGTTGTTGATGCATCATTGATGTCTACGTCTGCTTCATAACTCTCTTGTGAACGAAGAAAGTTCGCTTTTTCAGTAGTTGAGTACCCCATATCATTTCTGTGCATCTTGCAATGCACACAATAATAATTGCCAACGAAACTTTCAACAAATCCACATATACCGTTAACACCAAGGTTGTCGCCAGTAACTTGAGCTATGCTTACTTTAACAATTCCACTGTATACATCACTGTCAATATGCAAACCATTAGTCTCCATCTCTTTAATATCTGCAACAAGAAGCCTTAAAATGCTATCATAACCATAATGTTTTACATCTCCTGCGTTAAACATTGCAACAAGATAATAATTGCACAAAGATGAACGATACTTTGGTGGTATATTTAGTATTGTACAGTAAATCACTCCAATTTTATGAAGCCCTGCCTTGGAGCCAAGAGGATTAGCAACATCACACTCATCAACGTAGATAAGGAGCTTTATATTTTCTGGATTAGAAAAAAAAGCGTGTTCTTTACAAAATTGACCATCATGAAAATTTCGTAAAATTCCATCATCCATACTCCGATACTGTAACACCGTATTCATGAAATTTTTACTTTCAAGAATACATTTTAAAAGCTTCTGTAAGAGTATGTACTGAAAGGTAATATGTTTTGCAATTTGTTGAACGTGACCAGTAAGTCTATTATGCCGCGGAAAATATCCTAAAGCAATTGGGACCTCTAAGGGCTTAATAAAAAATCCAGAATTGACAAAATACTTATCCTACTGATACACAGTTTCAAGTTGCTGATATGGTACTTCACAACGCTGAAATGTTTCCAGCAAATTGCGTACTTCCTCGTCATCTTCACGAAATCCTCTGTCATACAAAAATTTAGATGTTTTTCCTTTAAACCACCAACTATATCAAGAAATAATTGTGAGGAGTCTGCAACAACCATATTTACTGTAGACTGCACAACACTACTGGAAGCTTTCATTTTAGCAATAGAAACTGCCACAGCTTCTGTAATTTTCTCTTGGCTATTAGCATTGCAATTACAGCGGCACATTTCGGACAAACATAACCCATCTTAAAACTTTTAAAATCTACAGTGAATGAAGATTTTAAGTTCACTTCATACCATGTCTTCTTTAAGTTTCTTTAAGTTAGCGATAAACTTCAGTCTAGATCCAACTGGTTTAATTAATTCTTTGATTGTATCTACGTCTAACAGCAGAAAAGCCTCTTCATCGATCAAGTTTTTTGTGAAAACATTTAAAAATTATAATGGTAAATAATGTACAAGTCATTGTCTGTACCTAAAAAAATGTTTTAAATCAAACATCTACAGTAGACAGGTTGAGCAAATGTTGGTAAGCAGTAATAACGTCAGCTTTCCGCTAGAGATAATTTTTTTTAAAATTCAATAGTAAAATAAAATAAATAAATAGTAATAGTAAAAGTAACTCAGCCACCACAAGGATTCGAATGTAAACCTTCCAGGGCTGAAAATATTGTTAAAAACTAGCCCATAATAATTTGTATATATTGCCTGTAGTATTTATTTTACTAGCCCAGCTTTAAAATGTGGTGGTGCTGGACCCAGGACCACCAAGTTTTTAAAGCCTTGCCGCTATAGCATATTAATTAAATAAATAAAACTAGTACTACTGAAGTAGTCTCTCATAGCCATGTTTAGGTGAAATAAAATTAAGCATCAGCATCTGACACAAAATACTATGGGGAGGGAAGCACCTTTTTACTGTTTGCATATATTAATAGTAAGGAGAGAAATTTTCATTGATAAAATGTGACTCTTATACAGTAAACATCAACTTTGTGTAGTCAATCAATCTGTATAGCCTAGATAAAATATACTGGAACTGATGAATGAAGGGTGTGTGACTATCTTAAGACAGGTATTTATGCTGTTGTAGTTAAAATGAGATTAGAAGTAATTGAGAGCTTGTTACTACTTGTTGCTATGCATACAAGTGAATGAGGTTTATCTCTAAATAAAAGGCTGGTAGATATTTTTTTAGGCTTGGATATAAAAAATGATGCATAAAAAATAATATAATATTAAAAGTTTATTTAACTTGTGCTCTTTTTTTTTACAAATTGCACTGAACAAGCATTTTTTTCAGGCAGAGTTGTTTCTGTTCGTGTATATATAAAGTAAAGGCAGAAATATTCTGAAGGTTGGGGGTCAACTAAACCAAGCTGACCAATCATAGTAGCCTAGCCTTATTAGGTCATCATGGGCCTTGGCCACCTACTGCGAATTTTTTTTATTACCTAGCCTCCCCTCTAGGCCAACTAGCCTACCTCCTATTCCAATCAATGCGCCAAGAATTGAAAGGAAAAATCAGAATTTCTACCCACCTTGGCCTAGTATACTGGTTAGTAGTAGTACAGC